TGTTGCATTCTGTGGTTGTCTCCAGTCTGACAGCCGGCACCACAGTCGTATTATCTGAATAGCTATTTATGCAAGTCTGACACCACCTTAACAAGGAGCCATTTTTACCCTCCTTCGCGCAGTTCTGGCCCAAAATATTACACAGCAGCGCTATCTGCTTGGACAGTTACCATAGGACACTGTTGTACTCGTTTTTCAAGTTTGCTATAGCTTTTTCTTTCTGGTAAATCAGAGCAACGCAAATGTAAATTCTTACTGCATTTCACACAGAGGCAAGTGCCCCCTGCTAATCCACAGTGTTTTACCTTTGGTTTGCTCATTAACACAAGCAGCCTGAGTGTGGCATACCCTCCGCTTCTGCTGATAATGCTCAAAAGGTGCAGGGAAGAACATACAGTAATTATCTAAATCAGATCTGGACACAGCAGCAATGTTACTGTACCGTGCCAGAGCTATCTGAGTGAAAAGAAACGAAAGAGGAAAATCCCAGTATTCTACTCATAACCGGAGATGCAGTTTAAATGTTACAAATGTAATCGGAGCCGTCATAAAAACTGCAGGCATGACATAGCAATTTCAGTAAATACAGCACAGTAAATTGCTTATTAAATCAAGCTGCCCTCAAACAGGAGCTGTGGCAACAAATTCAAATGATACAATGACATAATTTAACTGCACCAAATCGCACCACTCCCATCCTTTTCTTCCCAACCGTGGGATTTTAGAGCTTCTTAGCACAGCTAAAAACTTTCCTGAAGCATGAAGCCACCTGTGAGGCATAAGCAGAGTGCACAAAAGGGTAGTGAACACTTTACGCGCTGTGCTAGATGGTCTACTTCTCTCAGTAAATAGAACTTAACCTCTTGAACTTAAACCCTCGGACTCTGCAGGATACGATAAGTTTGTTTGCAAATGTTTTTCTCTGAAGGAGCGAACAGACCGTTTCGGCACTGTGCCCGGGCCAAAGAGCAATTAGAACAGCGCTGGTGGCAGAAACGCCATTCAGGCTTACTGTCTGCCCAGTCCCCTTCCCATTCCAAACCATGGCCCCCCGCTGATGGCTGAGGTCCACCCCAATCATGCCGTGTTTTCTCCCATTCTAGGAAATATACTTGTCTTACTAAAAAGATCAAATCGCATCTGAAAGGCAAACACACTAAGCGGATACAGCAGCACGACACCACTGAATTTGTCAGAATTTTTACAAAGGTGACATACCTCAACAAAAGAGGAAATAAGCAATTTATGAACTGGATGCTCTGGGTTTGCCGGTGGGAGGTACAGCCCATGTCCACTACTGGGAATTTTCTCATCTCCACGGAATACAGCTGAGACCAGAAGCTCTCATTTCTGTGCTTCCAAACCAAGGTCAGAAGTTACCAGGACAAAAAAGGCAGTGCATCTCTCACATCTGAATTAATACAAGCCACGTGTGTGTTTGCTGAGACTAACCCATAGGGCATCCAAAAATGGTCAAAGATAAAAGAGAATGACTACAACTGTTTTAAGACAAAGTGTTCACTTTATAGGTAGGCTGCAAAAAAAAAAAAAAAAAAAATTAGCAGGTTGAAATTGCCAGAAAAATTCCCTGCTACAGCAGAACAGCTTAAAAACACTCTCAAAGGCTACATCATTGGAAATGTGGCATTCACAGTTTGAAACATCTAGCAGGAGACTGGAAATTAACTTTGGTATCACTGAGCCACCACCTGCAGGTTTTGGAATAGATCTGCCAACCCCAAGACACTTCATTCACGACTGATGCCGAGACAATGCACCGAAGAGGGACTGCTCTAGTCGCACACACACGTGAGGGTGGGGAAATCCAGATCATAGCACACTGTTTTACTCTTGGAAAGAGCAGCATAACCCTGTGACCTCCGGGGGCCTACCGCTGGACCACAGGCATATAGGGGTTTTTGGAAAAAAAAAGTATCATTGGCGAGAGACAGGGTTATACATTATCCAACTGGAGGGAAGAAGCTTATTAAACAAGCATTTGGCTGAAGAACTTACACACACCGAGGTAATCTCAAAAGATCAACATTTTCAAGCTAAATCACAGGTTCTGCATTTTGAAGACAGGAAGATGCAATTCCTGCCAATATCTTTTTTGCGCAGTGCTGGACATTATGCTACTATCGCAACCAAGCCATAGCTGCAAGTCTGTATTACTTGGTTCCTGAGTGGGATCAAAGTTACACGTACGATTGCCATTTCATCATTTTTACCATCCCGAGCCAGGGTCACTGCGCTCGTCCACCTCTTCCTTTCGGGGAGCTGACAGACAGATTTCCTGTTTACAAGGGGACACTGCGTACAAACACAGTTCTGACCTTTCAGCAAGAAGTCTTCCACACGACTCCAGATTTCAAAGGCTGAATTTATCCTACTGGATGTACAGCATAAGCTCTGCTACAGCTTAGGAGGCAAATCCTCCCCTTCCTCAAATTTACAGATGCTGTTTAGAGCAGCCCACATTTTAAAATCCCCGTGTAGCTTAATAGACCTGCTGAGATCAAACTGCCATGACTTTGTTAATTTTAACTGGTGTTTTCAGCAAATGTACCATCTCAAAAGAAATCCCTTCTACCCAGAAAAAAAAAGGTTCTTATTTTAGAATAAAACCAAGGGAAGGGAGTGTTCACATAGTAACCTTACTGCCTTGAGCACTGGTCTGCAGAATTGTTTAAAAACAAAACAAACAAACAAACAACAAAAAATCTCTTTCATTCCTTTTTAAAAGGTCCTTCAGAAGAAGGATTGGATTGCTTCTGCAATTTAGCACAAGTACAGCATGAAAGACAGCACTGCTGGTAATAGTGGGAGCGCAAATGGGGGAGTGGGGAAAGAACCCACCATGTCCTAGGACAAGTTTAAAATAAAAATCTTAATTTGCTCATCACCCATTTAGAACACCAATGCAGGGGAAAAAAAAAGAGAAAGAGCTCTCTCAAACCTGGATAACCAAGATTTAAGAAAAAACCCTCAGCTTTGGCTTCCCAGGAAGCTTGTCAGGTAAAACAGGGCCATGTGGAGGTCAGTAGGTGATTTACAGGATGGCATTGCAAAGGTGCCTAAAAAAATAAAGAAGTTGTAAGTGAAAGCAAACCAGAGAGTCAGCTAGGAAGCAACATGACCCCCAGCCACCATGGAAGTGAAGACTTGTACAGCAAACAGGTGAAGATGGACCCAGAGAAGTTCTTGAGGTGATTTTGTTAAGAGGTACGCTTTGGGATTTTTTTTATTTCCTTGGAATAGCCTACAGCAGTCTGACACAACGAATGCTTCTCACAGCTTGTAGAGTAAAGGTACAATTTTTCAGAAGCATCTAAAGGCTTTAGCAGCTTAAATTGCACTGCAAATTCCACAGGAATTTGACCTGTAATTAATTACACTCTTCTGGAGTGTCTTTGGTTTTTTGTTTTTAAACTGTTCTTTTCCCTTGCAATCTCAGAGAAAGTTGTGTTTCAAAATCAGAATGCAATTAACTGGAGCATCCCACATTGTGGAATTAAAACGAGCAGGAGAACTAATGTGTTCCAATGTAATTTCTGATTTCTGTTTCTTCAGATTTCCTGGAGTCACTGTTAATTTCTTTCCTGGACAGAGGGGTTTAAGGCTTTCTTGAACTAAGCCCCTCTTTATGTAGCCAACTACAGCACACTGGAAGCACAATTATGCTACTAAGATAAGACAAAATGCAGTGGTGATGCACCAATTCATCATTTTTGGGTTCTTCTAATGAAGCCCATTACTCACAGAAGAGAATTTTCTCAAGCAGTTAGTCACCAGCAGACAGCTTTCCCTGTTACTCCTTCCTTTTCTACAGCTGGTGAATAGTCTGGTCCTCCCCTTGCCATCCCAAAAGTGCAATATTAGCAAAAGTCAACACCTAAATTAAAAATAAACAAACACTATTTAACTTTCCCTTAACCAAAAAAAATTAACAATAAACCAGAACAGCTTTCAGGAGCAAGCCAACCTTTTTCATTAAAAAAAAAAAAAAAAAAAAAAAGACAAAATGAGCCTGCTGTCCTTTTAATACTACTGAAAGATATTGAATACCTTTCTTTAGCTTATTAAAATAAGCATAAAACCAAACTACATACTACTTACAGCTTGCATAGAAACGTTTCATTTTGTACTTTGTGCAAATCTTACTAAATAAGGCATGCTTGAGAGTTTAGGTAGCAATGCAGTAGTTATCAAAGAATGCTGAGAAACTCCAAGGAAAATTCCAGGCAGTCTGCAATCCACATCCACTTAACACAGTTCATTTGACTTCAAAGACCAACAGCTGATAGCTGCAGATCTGTCTGCAACATAAGGCAATATGGTATGTGTAGGGTCCGGCACCTGCTTTCGGCTAGTCATGGGTTTAATACACATAAGATCACTTGAATTCAAAAAACCTGAGCTGCTAGTTAAAAAGAGGGCTTCAGATGTGGATTGGTAAGACCTCCATTTCAGGGAGAAGGAAGGGAAGGGGGGGAAGAGGACAAAGACATGAAGAAGCATAATCCTTCACGTGAAGAGTTTTTGTGCAGATTTTGCGTGTATTTTCATACCCTGAACTGTCCCCATGGGGCAATGTTTTTCCGAACAAACTGTCTTCTAACAAGTTATCCAGAAGAGTATTTCAGTAACAGAAAAAGCCAAGACGTTTGCCTCTCTCAAGCCAACCTACAAGTGTCTATTGCAGAAATTCAACAGGAATCAGTGACACTAAAGACGGGTGGCTGTGTAAAGAGGAGGAGATGAAGTGGGAAGCTGGAGTAAGAGCGGTATCAGAAATCTCTCAAGTCAGTTATGTAGCACAGAGGGAAATTATAAGGCCTAATACAAGGTAAGGTGGAATAACATTTTGCCTCCTTCTTCCCCCTCCAAATCAAGTATTTTCAGGAAATATTGAAGTACAACCTTCTTTTGTTAGCAGCTTTGCATAAAAAATCTGTTTAACCTCCAAAAGCTTTTTTAAAACAGGTTTAGAAAACCCACTAGTAATAATCCTCGAAATCCCCCAGTACTTTGTAACATAAAATGGAATGTTCCTGGGCAAGAGCTGCCAGCTCCTTCAGGAACTCCGGGAAAAGGGCAGCTGCGAGTACGGCATTCAAAAAAAAACACGTGCACGGGAAGGCCGGGATGAGCCAGGCCCTTCTTCCCTTTATGTCCCAGGAAAGGCTGGAGTACAGCTGGGCAAGCTTCGGAGAGGTTCCTTCCTTTCCCTGCGTTGCTGCTGTGCTGGACATTACCTAAAGCCAGGAAGAGAGGCAGGGGGGGGGAGAGACTCAGTATATTATGCACAGACAGTATTTATACAGCGTCCAAACGCAGTTTACAAGGGCTGCGTTCAGAGCTGTAGTTTGCAGTACCCAGACCGTGCAGGGAGATACTCCAGTAATCCAACGTTTTAAAGTTCTGCGTGGCCTGATTCTATTGCATTTTTTATTAGCTATCTTTCCTCGGGTTATGTATTATTCAGTTCCAGCTCTGATGAGAGAAATATGTGGACAGAAGAGGAGTCAAGGGAGAGAGTAATATGGATTTACCTTATGAAATAGCAGATAATATCTACCACCTAGACCCAGTGTGGTTGCCTCAATTTAAACGATACTGTGCTTTAGCCCTCCCCCAGATCAAAATATCATTTGGACTTTACTGCTCTCTCTTTCTCTATCCTTGCCCCATGAATCATCGTGTAAATGGGTTTGAGGCCAAGCTCTCACATGGCCATGGGAGTTTGAAGCAAGCTAGAAACTAAGGGAAGAAATGTTTGAAAATCTGGTTTTTCTTACAGCTGCAGCCCCCACTAGCTACACTTACCTTTAACTCCCTGTAAAGCAACTAAACATTAAAAAAAGAGCAAGTGCAAACCACCCTGTGCTCTGCTATATGATCTCTGCTGCCAAAGTTCAGAGGATCAGGGCTCAAGCATCAGAACGCATGGAATTACAGTGACAGCAGCACTTAAATTTCAAATCAATTGCTCCTTGTTTCAACCTGAAGCAGAACTGCACTTTAATTAAATGATAATTAATTTAGTGAAACTAAAAAGGTGACAAAATTTAACACCGATGGAAATAAATACTTTATGAAGAAAAATTAACTTGCAGAACTCACTGCCACAAGACGCCACTGAGGCCAGAAGAAGAGACGATAAAATCCTGTCTAACTTACAAGTGGATGTTCTCATGATCTGTATAAGTAAATAATTAAAAAAAAAAAAAAAAAAAAACC